AAACTTTTTAATTAGAATGAAGTAACTTGTAACTGTACAATCAATTAGTAACACAATATATATACTTCCTTCGTTCCCTAACATTGTTTGTAGTCGAGTTTTATCTTTAAGTGTATTAATTATCAATACAAACTATATAATCAACAAATCATATACTCATCATATAATTAAATACGAAGTATATATCAATAAACCAAGAATTGGGTTTTGGTTTAGTACCTTGATAGATGTGAAATGGCTATAATGAGTAGGATTAGCAGGTTCAAGCATTGATCTAAAATAAGAAGCAGGGGATCTTGGTTCAACCTTATACTTTTTGCAGTAAGGTAGCCAATTCTTAGAGAATTGAGAGGCCTCAAAAAGAGCATAAAATATTTAAATCGAGCCACCATCATCGGATAAGTAGATGCTAAGCTTTTCCGGTGGGTAGTCATAGGCCATCACGGATAAAACAGTGTTGATCACCATTAGTGGTGGCTCGATTAATGGATCTGCCGTGCATACGAATATGTCCACCTTAGGCAAGTCATTCTCATACCTTGTTGATAAATTAACCAAGAATATTAGTGAGAATTCTGTAAAGGATCATTTAATAAGGGCTAAGGTGCAATAAAACAGTGGCGAGACCAAAAATTTATCATAATGAATATATTGTTAAAGTCGATTAAGAGTTTTAAGACAAATAGGAAATACTTTGCTACACCATGCATTTTAGCACCATATACTTCTTCTTATTATGTGAGTAATAAATGTTAAAAATAGGCATGTAAATAAAGGACGGAGGGGTAATAAAGTTACATAATTTTTTTTTTTTTATATTTTTTTTTATTTTTTTTTGAAAATATAAAGTTACATAAATTTGATGCTACTATATCAATTTATTTTCAAGTCTTGATTGACATGGTTTTTAGTCTTGATTGACATGGTTTTTATGCAACTGCACATTAGAACTAGACATAGGAAAAACAAAGTATATGACAACAATTATCAACTTCCAGTCAAAAAAATAAATAAAATTATTAACTTAGTGGGCCACTTTCCGATAAAATGTCTAACAAATGGCTGTATTTTTTTTTTTTTTTGGACAAGTACGCTCGTATCATTGCTTTTCGAAATGGCCGTGTATTAGCACGTGATCATAATATTTAACACATGTTTGTTGAAAGCGATGCTAGTTTGATCATTATTAACATTTCACGAGAAATAAAATGAATAAATGATACGGAGTATTATATAATTGGATTAGTTATAACTCTTACAAGATCTATTTTTGTATGAGTAATATTTTATTTTTTTCACAATTTTTACTAATAGAAATTAAAGTTATCATGGATCAAAATTATGTTTTGATCAATGTGTAAATAATATAAATATTTTTTAAAAAAAAAAACAGAGGAAAAACAAAACAATCATTACTAATAATTTGCTTCTATAAGCTACTCTACTCCAACACATTAAAATATAGACCCATTTATAGATATTAAATTTTCTTTTTTTTATAAATTAGATCACGATCTTTACAAGAAAGCATTCCTAATTTTCCCATGTATCCTACCTTACCTTTATAAAAATATTTGCCAATGTTGACAAAGCTAAGTATGATAATAATCCCACCTTTGGATTATTATTTATGACTTAAATATTCTAATCATCTCACCTTTAGCCGGTTCGCTATTAATAATCCCACCTTTATAGGAGATCTTCTTCTATTGGTCCATAACCTGTTGGTAACCGATTTTGATAAGTTAATATGCCATGGGTCATTTTGTAATTGGTTGAAAAATAAATAAAAAAAAAAGAAAAAAACCCACCAACCACCCCCACCCACCGTGAAACCCTAACCCTTACCCTCTCCCCACCAAAAACCGGCCGTCCGCCACCCTAAACCCTCGAAAACGGCTGGTCGGAACCCCCCCAATACCAAAAACCACCCCGCCGACCAAAAGCCACCCCCGAAATCACCCCTAACTCAAATCCCAACCCTAAAACCACCATAATCACCACCTTGAAAATTGCCGAAAACCTCCTCTCACCGCCAAAAACAGCCGAAAAGCCCCTCTAACCGTCGAAAACCTCCAAACTCCTACCCAAATTCAAGCTCAAGCCATCCCTTCTGCTCTTGAAGGCTTTTTGTTTTTTTTTCTTAATTCATTGAAATTAAGGGCCGATTTTTGTTGCGTGGGGTGGGAATAGGGGTTCCGGCGTTTGGCGGTGGGGATGGGGGTTCCGGCGGTGGGGATGGGGAGGAGGGGTTGCCGGAGGTTGGGGGTTAGGATGGTCGTTGGGGGTTGGCTCGGTTTTTTTTTTTAAAAAAAAAATCTTTTTGTTTAAAAAAAAATTTTTACCAGATTTTTTTTAAGGTTTTTCTTTTTGACCAATTATTTAGTGACACGTGTCACTCAAATTAAAAAAAAAAAAGTATACCTAATGGACAGGTTACCGATCATAAGAGACCAATAGAAGAAGATCCCCTATAAAGGTGGGATTATTAAATAATAATCTAAAGGTGGGATTATTAACAGCAAATCGGCCAAAGATGAGATTATTAGAATCAATTTTTCCTACTTTTTATTATAATTTAGATTTATTGGTATCCATTAGATTACTTTACTAATTAGTATGGAGTACATGTAGTCCTGTAGGAGTCAGTGTTAAAAAATGGATTTAAGTCATTATTGGTATAGACTTCCTCCCCTATTAGATCATTGATATAATTAAAACCATACGAGTATTATTTAGGTTATGTTTATAATTAGTTCATATATGAAATAATTAGATATGATTTAATTTCTAAAATTAACCAAACTTTAACTTTATTTGTACACTAATCTGTAAAATAAAATTGTTTGTTATTGTATTTAATTTGTATTAATATGTACTTTACAAATATAAAATTTTCATAATTTTTAACATGTAAAGAACAACGATATTTATTGATAAATAAACACAAATAAAAAAAGAAATAGGATCTGATGTATTTATGAAATAAGCTAATATAAACTTAGATAAGTTAAACTGAACATGTCTAGACTACATTTTGGTTGGTTAGAACCATACTGACTAAGGCCTTGTTTGGTTCACCTTATTTTTACTGATCTGATCTGGTTTGGTCTGATCTGATTTGATTGTCTGATTTGACTAAACTTTGACCTTAAGTGTACGATAATCTATAAGGAAAAAATCTATCAAGTGGGATCTTGTGAGATTCGTAATAATGTGTAGATTATTAATATGTAATTTTCATAATTTTTTTATTACGAAATTAAGAATATTTAGCGATAAAAAACCGCACATAAAACGATGTTCTGATCTGAACTTATATTTTCTGATCTGATCTGATCTAAACTTTTTTTTTTTTCTGAAATAAGTAAAAATAAGTTGAACTAAACAAGATCTAACTCTATTAAAGGAGGGGAAACATGAAAAAAGTACCTGTTGGAGAGTCTATCTTTGAAAGAGTAACGATAGATGCAATTCCATCGAAAAACTTGAGAAAGAATCCAATAAAAACCAAACCAAATTTCAGCCATAAACAAAGCAACCCAACCTAATCTTCCCTCCCCAACTTTCTTGGGTATGTAAGAACATCTATAAACCCAAATTACACAAATTGCAACTAATATAGATGTTGCAAATACCCTGTAAATTAATCTTCCCTTTGCTTTCTTCGTCTCAAATAAAGGAAAGTATTCATCTTTTCCCATTTTTTCTCTCATCAGTTTTGGTAATTATTGAAGCAATTTTTTAAAGGGTTTAAGCTAGTTTTCTTGTTCAGTTGGCTGTTTATCCTTTTTTTTTTATGCAAACTTTTTTTGTTCCTCTTAAAATCTTAATGTCTTGTCATATTATCTCCTTTGTTTTTAAGTTGACACACCTCTTATTATGTACTCGTACGTATAAGTATAAAATCAGTATAATATGTTTGAAATTACAAGTATAAAATCGCTAATAATTTTGATTGACTACGAATTTATTCAATGATATAAATTTAATATCTTGGAACTACAATAGACTTAGGGGGCATTTGGTTTGAACATTAGAAATGGAGTGTAAATGAAATAGATAAGGAGAAAGAAATGAATCATTTTAATTGTTACCTTTTCATTTTTTTGGTTTAAATATGGAAAGGAATCACCTAATCCTAGTTCTCTTTATTTTGTTAGAGGAGGGTGAAGGTAATTGTTACTCTATGAGTGGAAATCATTATCCTTAGGTAATGATAATTGTTACCCAAACCTCTAAACAAACACTTAATTACGGTAATGGTTTAATTGAATCCGTTTCCAACCAAATACACTTACATGACAAAAGAAATCTACCACAAGCAGCCCGCCTCATGACCCAACCCAACGTGGCTAGAAAAATATGTACGGGTTTAGCCAACTTTTGTGGGCCCAAAATTTGGGCTCAGGCTTGATCATTTGATTTTAATTTTTTGTGGGTTGATGGCAGCTTAAATTTTAATTTTAATTATAAGTTTGACTCGGCCTGAAAAACCCACTATTTCTAACACGAAATAGAGAGTTTGGGACAAATAAATTACTCCAAACTTGGACCCACCCTATCCAACAAGAAGCTACATTGATGATTGTAATCATCTTTTGTTTGTCTTTATTCATTTTTAGATAAACTTAAACAAAATAAAATAAGTTCGGATAAAACAATATCAGATTTGTTTTTTTTTTTTTTCATTTTTTTTTTTCCTTTTTTTATTGATGTGGAGAGAGTTACAAGGGCAAACGATATAGACGAGATTTAATCACAAGCCATAACTACCACCTTGTTTGTGATCGATAATGTAGTACGAGCGAACATTATAATTACCATCTTTTTACATTGATCGATAATGTAATACCAGCGAATGTTATAACTAATTGAACAAAATGGAACAAGCAAAGAATTTTCCTTGTGATGAACTTTATAAATTTTGGATAGTCACATATAAAAATATAATCATTTAGGGAAGGAAGGAAAAATTCAATACTACTAACAACAATAAATAAAGGCTAAGTCATATATCACCCAAAAGACGAGTCAAATGTACTATTTCTCCTTTTATTCTTCTCTTAAATTACAACCAGTTTTATCAAATCAATCTATAAATTAAAGGTCCTAATGACAAAAATAAAGTACAATAATAAAAGATACAACTATTGCTTTCATAGTCACAGAATTTGGCATCTTGCCTTTGTCTTTCCTAATAAAAACAGCTTTAAACAACGGAAAATTGATTAAAACCAACACACTACATAGCAAAATTTGCAAGCTTAATCCCTCAATCATCAATCTCATCTCTTTTCGTTCTAACAAATTTTTTATTAAGACAACAAAAGTAAATAAATTTATCAATGCAAGAGAAGTTAGCAAAGTGAACATGGGAGAAGGGGCTCCAAATTCCATAATCTCTTTCTCATATCTTTGATACACATCTTCATCGGTCACCTTGTTGGTGATCACAAATTTCATTTCCGAAAACCCAATGAGTTTCAAAATCGTGTCAACGAGGGCAAACAAGTATGATGATGTTCGCTTATAGAGCCAAATCCTTAGTTCATTCCACCACCCTAAAACCGTACCTCCGGTGTGTACGAATTCTATTAAATTGTACGTGTACGTGGCAATGATAACATAGGCAAATGGAAGAAACCATGAACTTGATAACTAGCATAACAAAATATTCACATGTAAGAATTTTTTATGTCATAATAAAACTTCAACTCGAAAGTGATAAAAATTACTCCGTACCTTAGGAAACACGGAAATGCCTCCGAGCATGTATAGAGAAGGGACGGTACAATAACACAAGGTTGCAAGGGAGTTGACTGCCCAAAAACAGTAGTGACAATAGCCCAATTGAAGGCCTAGGTGGATCCTTTTATGGCCGTACCATAAAGGACAATGTGTTAGCATGATTTGAAGATCACCTTCACTCCATCTTTTATGTTGCACTAGTGTATCTTCTAAAGTTGTGGCTGCTAAACCTAAAAAAACACTTCTTTTCGGATTCAAGTATATTGATTTCCATCCTCGACATTGGATTGCCAACCCGGTTATTACATCTTCAACTGGACACCCATATTTCAATCCCCGCTGAAATTAATTTCCACAATATTTAATTTTATATAGTTATTAAAAAAAAAAGCTTTTCAAAAGAAGTTCATCTGTCACGTGGCACACCTCCACCGTTTATTTATTTTCATTCCACATCATGGATTTACTTTTAAATATTATAGATATTGGATGTATAAGCAAGATTCAAACACACATCCTCAAATTTAAACAATACATGCCTTACTACTAGAGTATGTCATGTTTCATGTTCTTTTTGCGAACAAAATATCAATAAAAGAAGTGAGTGACTATGTGAAAAATGAAATAGAATTAAGATAAATGTAACACCCCGACCCCAAACAAATTAGGGTGGAGCCTATTGCCACGAAATATGTATCCATGGCCAACAACTGTCCTCACAGACTAACACAAGTCATTCCGGCGCATTTTGTCCTCATTCATGTGATGTAAATCGAGTCCCTTTTCTTATAACTATCTTTATTGCTTTATTTAGGCACTCTCTTGATTTTACCTTACTCTTAAACTAGGGGTTTTACAAGTGGGTTTTAAAAATATTATTAAAACTCACTTGTAAAACCCCTATTTTAAGAGTAAGGTAAAATCAAAAGAGTACCTACATAAAACAATAATGATAGTTATAAGAAAGGGGACTCGATTCACATCATTATGCGCACCCCGGGAAAACTTCCCGTGAAGTTACCCATCCTAAGACTACTCCCAGTCAACTTGCACGCTTAACTGAGATCTCTAAAAGAAAGATGCATCTTGTTGGTATGAGTTGTATATTAAACTATTTTAAAGCAATCACGAGGGATATTACATAAAATGAGTCATGAATTAAATACATAACTGCAAGTTCTATGCAGTGACACGAGGCATACCTTGGGCCCAAATACTAGTTAATTAGCAATTACTAGAACGATTATTAGTGAATGCATGACAATTAACAAAGCATCATATTTAGCAAAATAATGCTCTTGAATAATAATGATATAAGGCCATTTTTAATTTTTAACATTTACCTCTTTTCCCCATTGAGAGTTCAGCTCATATACACAGCTAGCAAGTGATTTTGCTCTTTCTTCCAACTCGAAGATTGTTCCATCCATTTTCGAGGTCTTCCAATCGATCTTGTAATCCTTAGAGTACTTCCTTCCACATAATATTTCTCTTTGATGGAAGCAGCCAGTTCCGACATATAATGGCCCTCCTAAGCCATCCAAACCATGAAATTCGACCTACGTTTGGAAAATAAATTGAAGAAAACGCACATTATGTAAAACACTTGTACATGTAATTTCTAATCAAAACTTGGAACGTTGGAAAATTATGATTTACTTACTTGACTGATAACTTGAAGGGTTGAACCATATATATCATTCTTAGTAGTATTTTCAAAGTTTTGTGGAAATTGTACAAACCCAATGTCCTGGCTTTTCTTCTCATCCATGAAGAAACAGAGTGCATCGCGAATAGACTGTGAGTTATTCGAATACATGTCACAATCAACGTTGAGGATTACCGCTCCATTGCTTATTTCTGATGATACCCTTAGCTGCATAAAAACATCATAATAATAAGGTCTTAAGAACGAGTAATAAGTCTCAAGGTCCTAACAACTAATTGCTTTTTACCAAACACTTTTACACGAACAACTAATCACAACCAACTAGTCAAAACAACTACAGTAATACAAACAACTAAAAGTAAATTGCCAAACAGGGCCAACGACATGTTTATCAAATGGCAAAACTGTAAATAAATCAACAACTTTTTAATAAGTATGACTTTATAATATTTTATATAATTATGACAATGCTAACTGGATATTTTGTCGATTTATTTTTGTTTTATCAAGGTGATCGATTTACCAATGAATTCATAGCTCCAGCTTTGAAGTTGTGTAGATATTGAGGCCTCTTTTCACGAGCTAAGTAAACAAGTGTGGGCAATCGATAACCTTCGACATCTACTGCCTCTTTATTTCTTCCATCAACCAATATCTACAAACGTACACATAACCAAAAATTAACATCATCCAAATATGAACAAGTACAAACTCATTCACATAGCATTTAATTCAAAGAACAAACTAGGCCAAAATTGTACACAACCTGAAAAATAATGGATAGTAATTAAGTAGTTGAGAAGGTAATTAACCTTAAGAATGGTATCATGATCATGTTTAGAAGTATAGCCATCATCCCATATAGAAAATCCTTTGTGTTGATCGCGTACTTCTTCTGGAATTTGACAAAGGTTTGTTGCCGTCTCAACTCTGTTTCGCATCTCTTCATACAATTTCTTTGGTTTGAATAGAAAATGAAATAACAAATTAAAATGATACTTCATATTTGCAAGTAAGTAAACTTAACTTTTAGCTTTAATTTGTTGTTCTATGATGATCAAATACGAATATTAAATAATAACTATACTTCCTCTGTTTTCTTTTAAATGCAACAGATTTTCTTGACAGGCTTTTTTAATTAGGGGTTGATTAGAGTAGATAAACGAGTAACTTTTTTTTTTTTTTTTGAAAAGAGGTAAACGAGTAACTTTATTAAAAATAATTTTAAACTACTTAGATAAATTATTTTGAATAATATGTCCATTAACATGGCTTAATCTCTTTCTTAAAGTGTTTAGAGGATTATTAAATAGATAAAATAATTTTAGACGAAATCAGATGAATCAACATATCTCGTGTTATACTTTGAATATGCATAGCAGGGGTACCTTGATAGATGCCAAATGGCTAGAATGAGTAGCATCAAAAGGTTTAGGCATTGATCTAAAATAAGCAGCAGGTGACCTTGGTTCAACCTTGTACTTTTTGCAATAAGGTAGCCAATTCTTAGAAAAATGGGAGGCCTCAAAAAGAGCATAAAATGTGAAAACCGAGCCACCATCATCGGATAAGTAGATGCTGAGCTTTTCCGGTGGGTAATCGTAGGCCAAGACCGATAAAACAGTGTTGATCACCATTAGTGGTGGCTCGATTAATGGGTCCGCTGTGCATACGAATATGTCCACCTTAGGCAAGTCATTCTCATACCTTGTAACAATTCAATTAAGCAAGAATATTAGCAAGGATGCATATTAGTCATTACTCGAAATAATACTTTAAAGGGTCGTTTAGTATGTTGGGGTAACTGAGTAAGGGGTAATTTATAGTGGTGGATCCAGGAATATTAGCAAATCATTAGCTCACTACCTTAGGCAAGTCACTCATACATTGTACAATTCAGTCACACAAGAATATTAGCAGCGATGCAAATTAGTCACTACCACTATTCTAAAGGGATACTCAACAAGTCAATATAATTATTACACTGTTTTGGCCAAATTCGACCCATTTTAAATTTAATTTACAACGAATATAAATTTTGATAAATTAAAATTACCAGATACAATACATTTGACTTAAAAGAACAAAATAATCCTTAAAGTTAATTAAGCAAGAGATGCAAGACAACATAAATGAACATAAAAATTGATTCGAGTAGGGTACATCCAAACAAAAAAATGGCTAGCCAATTGAATCGGCTAAGGCCACACTTCGAGCCTAGTATTGGTACTTTAGTAGCCTAATTCGGGTTGACCGATTTGGCCTAAACCATAAGTCTAGTACAAAACACTGCATAATTTTGGTTAATGTAAAAAACATTACGAGACCCTTCTAACGAAAAACGTGAAAAACGTGTTAATGATGGATGAAAAAAAAAAAAAAAATTAAAAAAGAGTTACCTTTTGGAGAGTCTATCTTTGAAAGAATAACGATAGATGCAATTCCATCGAAGAAGTTGAGAAAGAATCCAATAAAAAGTAAACCAAATTTCAGCCATAAACAAAAGAACCCAACCCAATCTTCCCTCCCCATTTTTGTTGGGTAAGTAAGCACCTCTATATATCAAAATTACACAAATTGCAACAAATATAGATGTTGCAAATACCCTGTAAACCAATCTTCCCTTTGCTTGCTTCGTCTCAAACAGAGGAAAGTATTCATCTTTTCCCATTTTTTCTCTCTCCTCTTTTTTGATAATTGAGCAATCTGAATAAAATATGTTATAGAATAGGCTAATCTTCTTCTTTGGTTGGTTGTTTTATTTTGTTTCTTTCCTTATTTTTAAATATTTTTTGTAACAAACTCTCCACTCAATAATTACAGAAGAGCCGTCATTTTGGACATTATTAAATGGATGCCACAGTAATGGCACTACCTAAGACTCCCTCTTTATTTAAATAAGTGAAACGCTTCTCTTAATTACGTATGTCAATACAAAACTTTAATTGATAATATCTTTAATTTTTAATAGGAAAAATTGTAAATTTAAATCACTTAAAATTGATTTTACCACCTTTTTTTCATATTACATAACCACCCTTAAAATTTTAAAAATAAATTAATAAATAATAATCACCACCCACAAGGCCACAAACTACACCCTTTTTCCTTTAAAAAAAAAAAAAAAAAAAAAAACTATATCTGTTAATTTTTTAGTTGTAATAAAACAATATTTTATATTTAACAAATAATGCTAACTTAAAATTAATGGAGGTGGTATTAGATAATAAAACTATTTTGAAATATCTAATTAGATATTTAACTCACCAAAAAAACTTGGCCCATCACTTAACCCACAAACTCAACCGTGACAAGTCCATCTTCTTCAACCCAGCACAAAACCCAATTTAGGCCGGTCCTACGTCACCCTACCCTACCCAACCCATAACCAAACTTAATCTTATTAGGTGTTACAAGTTTAAAGTGTACTTTCTGACTTTCTTGTGTGTTACTCGTACCTAATAATCTTATGAGTTTTGTAGGTGCTAGTGTGTTGATGTTTTTGATGATGTTGGGAAGTAGAGTTGTGGATGTACGAAGACAGGACATTTTGTTACTAATATATTTACAAAGAGTAGATCTCTGTTACAAGTACTAGTACGACCTTTCCACTTAATAAATAATATGTATTTTTCATTAGAATGAAAAACTTGGGCTCTTTCTGAAGAGTTATGTCTTACTCCGTAAGAATGTTTGCAGAAGAAATAACAGGTAGTTCTCTAGCTGCCACGAAAAAAAAAATCAAATTTTAAATTAACAAAAAGCATACAATTAATTCTTGCAACTGCTACTTAAGTTATCATCTAACGGGGGTTTAACCTAGTAAAAAAATAGAGATGAATAGCCAAAATGAAAAAAGTAAAGAAAAAAGGAACAAAAGGAGTAGTATCTTTGTTAAAACTTAAAAGTGTAAAAATGAAAAAATGATAATCCCTTTATTTAAGCGTTTCCAAAAGTTACATTTCAATAGATCAATGTAAATTATTTTACACATTTCTCTTCATATATGCCTACTTCCAATACAACTATTCTCATACATTACTAAAATAATTAACTAAATCCAATGAAATTATTTCTAAATACATAACTATTTACCTATTTCCAACGCAAATAATTATTCTTATTTCCAACGTTGAATTAATATTTCATATATGTGATATGTAATAATTACTTTTCACTATCTTATTTATTTTTCTTAATAACCTCGTAACATCACCAAACGTAGCTTGAATTTACAATAGTCTAACTATCTACTTATTTTTGGCCTTGACAATAATAGGACTTCTAACAACATGTTTAGCATCGGACCATACCAAGCTTCCAAAAATGTAATCGGTGGAGAGATGATTGATATCCGCTGTAAGGATAAGTTTAAACACAATGATTTGATCTTTTTGAGAGAACACCAAAGTCTTAGGCTCCACCATAATTGAGACACCCGGCGGCGGCTCAATCCGTGGAACGTAGGTTCCTGGTGGTCCAACATTCTTCAACTTCCGAGTAACTATCGCATTGCCGGTAAAATTCACGATAGATATGGAAGGATAATTGAAATCCAAGATGTTGAAGGAGCGCGGGCATTTGTAAGAATGTTGTTGGCTAAATTCTTTAAGAGTTGTACTCTCAGGAGGATATGCACATATGAAGTTTAGGTAATCATATTGGTTCATGTCATATACCAACCCTGGATCCATTGCCATATTGGGTTTAACATGGCCCGATCCGTATGCAAATGGTGTAGCATCACTTGTCTTATTACTATCACGTATAGGCATCCCATCATTGTCTAGGGGACTTGCTGCATTATTATATATAGAGTACACAAGCAAATGTTAGGTTGCTTACACAAACGATATAATAATAAGGTTTTAAAAACTCACCTGACTCGACCTAATCAAATATTATGAATAGTATGACTCAACTTTAAACTAGACCTGACATTATTAAACTGGATCCATACTTCTGAATTGACACCTAATATATCATATCATGTTGCACGTGTAAAGAACATATATACCTGTTGTCATGATTGCGGATTTAATAGCTGCAGTACTCCAATCCGGATGTACCTTCTTAATAAGAGCCGCAATACCAGCAACATGAGGAGTTGCCATTGATGTTCCGGTTTTCATGCAATAAGAACTTTGAAAGATTTCTGGAGGGCATGCAGCGAGAATATCTACCCCAGGAGCTGTAACATCAGGCTGTAGTAGATGGATACGCACAAGGTAAAATTACTTTAAATAACTATATTGTGCATGCTAAGGAATCCATTTTATGAATGAATTTATTATAGAATCCCTCTGTCCCTATTTGTTTGCCCCATATTCCTTTCTAAGATGGCCCTTAAAGATTTCTCTGTTTCCACCGTTAACCCCGCATGCATACATTAATAAGTATAAAAGACAAAGATACTCTTAATTACCTACTTCCTATATTTTGGTTCAATCCTTAATATAATACATTTCGACGAGACAAACAAATAGGAATGAAAGAAGTAATAATTAGATCAAATAAAAATAATGAGTACGTATACCTTTAAAATACCAGGGTTATTCTGGTTTGGACCCCTCGATGAGAAAGAACCCATGATCGGAGATGGCTTTACTCCCAATGTATTTGTTACGCCACTGATTGACGCGGTTGGAGTCCTGTTACAAATTACAATCTTTATTTCTTAGATATTCATATATTATTTACAAAACTAAATATAATCGTCTCACCTTCTTAATTCTAATTTTTGACTTTTATTTACTTGCAATACAGCCTTGTTGCATGCATTTTGAGGCCAAAATTATACAATGTAAACAAACAAATTAAATAAATATAATTTTTACACATATACAGTACCTAACCTTCTCTATTCTCGCTATTAAAATGATTATTATGATTAAAATTGTTTGTTTACCTTCATTAGTCACCTCCTAAAAGTGTGTGACCATAATTGTGTTGCAAGTAAAAGAAAACAGTGGAAGTATATATCATGATCTTCCACCGTACTAGCATCAATTTCATACATATCCAAGAGCAAACTTAGTTAAATAAAAAGAAAAAACCTACCTCATGGCTCGATTTAATCCATAAATTTGAAGTGAAATAAACATATATAGCTAAAGTTGTAACACCATATCTATGCACAAAAAACAGGAAATGAATAGAGGTGATCAAAGTTGACCCGGCCCAATTTTGGGCGGGTTTCGAGCATAAATTTTCGGCCCGAAATCGGGCTGGGCCATGTCCGACCCGATTTTTTTTTTTATTTTGGGCAGGTTTGGAAATGCGTTTTTATGCATACTTAGCTGATTTTTTTGGCCCGCCCCGAAATGGCCCGAAAAGCCCGCCCGACTCGACCATTTTGGACGGGTTTGGGCACAAAAATTTCGGCCCGAAGTTTGGCCCGCCCTGAAAATGGGCATAACTTTTTAGCTTTGGCCCGACCCGGCCCGCCCAATGATCACCTCTAGAAATGAGGTAGGTGTTATAAATTGATCTTACCTTGTAGAGTTAATATAAGAAAAAAGAGTTTCGCCGTCTTTATAGCTAAGAACTATAGTGTTGACTGCATGAAATTGGCTAAGGGTAAATCCATCTCCTATCTTCTCTTCATATACAAAGATCATCCCAACAGCCCCAGCATCTCTAGCTACAACACTAGCCAATGTTTCATCTTTTGCAACAATTCTTCCAGCGTTGCGACATACCAAAATCTTTCCCGTCACCTTCGTAACATCGATACTTCCTCCTTGACATAATGATCTACATCCAACGTCACATGCATATCATATCGATCATAAAAAGAAATAACATATGATTTGTATTAGCAATTTTAATAAGTTGTAATCTAGCTTAACAATTCAATAATTATACAATGTAATACAGTATAAAATCTATTACTAGGCCTCAACCATCGGATTAAGTTTTTGGTTGAGATTATCCTTTAACAGAGTATCAAAGATAATGTAACAAGAAGGTTACGAGCTCGAATCTCAGCCACCACCTCCTTTAAAAATAAAATGTTAAGCGATGGGTATGTTAGGGACTCAACCAACAACATAAATTTTTTGTTGAGGTGGTTTTTAACTTAATTATTTAAAAGTATATTAAAAAAATAAATAAAAAAATAAAAATTAAGAAGAAGAAGATTAATCAAACTTACGCATCGCTAACATTAGCACCAGATATGCGAGCATCTGCACCAGTGATTAGTGGGTACAATTCACTAGGAACATCAACTTTTGATACAAAATCATAAAACCGTGTACCCTGCAGTAAATAGTTTAATTTTAATTTATTACTCCATATTGAATTTTGGGAAAAGGAGTTTAGAATAATTATATTACCCACTTGAAACTATGATTCCATGATTGTCAAAGCAAGTTAGGTAATAAGAGGCTTAGAATTTCTTTTTAAGAAATAATTTCTCTGTTGTTTTTATTCGGTTGACACTTTTTTTTTTTTTTTTCTTTTTTTTATATCATGTTTTCTAACGGACAAGTTTAACCATCTCATCAATCAATATATAGCATATAAATATATGTGCATATACATACATACCTTGATCTTTTGATTGTTGCCGAGCAGAACGTGAGCAGAAAAAACACGATCAATAGTAGACGCACCAACAGATAGCACCCATGGATAATTATTTGCAGCAGTCCCGGCATTCGGCCCACTATTTCCCGCACCAGCAATAGTGAGGATGCCATTCTTCATGGCATGGAAGGTAGCAATTCCCGTACCATCATCTAGATAAGCACTATTGTTTGATGCTTGAGAATAATTTATAACGTCAACGCCATCATCAATAGCAGCTTCGAAAGCAGCCATTACATCTATTTCATTGCTTCCTATGGTTTTAAATGTAGGGCATTGAACGTTCCAATTCGTCTTGTAGGCCACCAATCGCGCTTTTGGTGCCATTCCTATAGCTGTCCCATTCGCGAGTCCTCCCCAGCTTGCGAATGGGACGATACTCCCTCCCGCCGTTGATAGGGTGTGGGTGCCATGCCCGTCTGTGTCATCTCTAGGGCTCAACTTTTGATTGAAAGTACAATTTTCTTGTAAATTACTATTCTTCTCCATGGCCTTGTAAAAATATCTGGCTCCTATAAGCTTCCT